GAGGCTCTTCAAGACGAATACCAAGAGGCCCGTGGGTGAATCACATAGCGCATAAGCTAAGGTATTGGGTTCAGTGAGTCCGAGCCTGTTGAGACCAAACTGAGCTGGCGTTGATGGTTTCTTAAAGGGGCGCACATAGCCGCTTCGTTCGAGTGCAGAGAAATCCTCGCTCCGGTACCCGAGAATCGGGGCCCTCAAGAAGCTGGCAATCGACCATTTGGCCCATTCGATCGGGGCAACCTGCAATTTTGGTTGGTCTAGGGGTGGAGAGATGAGATGCGTGCCCAAACACGAGTCGGTATAGTGCTTGGCCAGATGATTGGCGAGCTTGTAGTCGATTTCGGCCGGCGATGCAGCTCCTGGACTTGCGTTTGTAATTAGATAATACGGATAAGATAAACGTTTCATCAACAGATTCATTATGTCGGCTGTGTTCGAGATGACGGGGACATTATTCGGGAGTGCGTCGCTAAATCCCAAGCCTGGAAGCGACGGGATGACCAGATGAAAAGGTTGAGTTTTCTCGACATCTTCTGGGTCGGTAAAGAGTTTGACAAGATGACCTAACGAGAGATTCGTAGATGGGAATGGTGGAATCAGCAGTAGCGGTATTGCATGCTGGTGAGTTGAGCGAATGTGAATGAAGTGAATCCTTATGGGCGCCTCGGATGAGGGAATCGTGAAGCCAGTGCGGTATTGGGGCAGCTGGGCGTTCAGCTGGTCCTCTTGCTCCCTCCACGAATATTGGTCAAGCCTGTGCGAAAGGTCAGAGATAATAAATTCTATTTACTGTTCACTTCTTTATCAAACGTTTCCAGATCCCAGGTCAGCAAGAAACGGAAGCCCGGGTCGATCTGATTGCGGAGACTCGCTTAAGACAGGACTCACCAGAAGTCGATCAGTGGCTCAACTTGAGGCTTGGGTTGCCACCAATCCTGCGACTTGGGCTCATCAAGCTCGTGGGGCAGCCTGGTGACTTCGAGCTTCTGCGATGTGAGATCCAAGTATCTTGACGATACCTATGGGACTTTAGTTGTGGTCGTTTCGGCGGTGTCCCGATGATGGAATGCAGACTCACGTGTAGCTTGTATGGTTTGATTTCCTCTGCGGTAGAAGCACCGCCAGCGGCAACCGCCTCACCAACCTCAGTCACCATCCTCAACTCTATTCGAGGTAGCTATTATTAGTACTGGTACCTGGATGACATCCGACACAGCAGACGAAACACCACCAAGACGCACAACAACGAATATATCTGGTGAGCGAGCGTGGAGAGAAGCTGGAGAGAGATAACAACAGGTTAGAAGGGAAAAACACGTCAGGATATCAAAAACAAAAATGCATAATGCCTCCATAGTACCTTGCTTATTACCTACCTACCTATCGTGCCACGCGCCGAAGAGCTGGAATTAATTATATCGGGGTTCAAGGGACGATAGGTGGCTTGACCTGTGGCTAAAACCGACGATGAAGAGTGTTTGCCCGGAAAGGGAATAAGCAAGGCTCGAAACAGGGTACAAATCAGGGTTTCGTCGCTGACTGCAACCAATTGCAACCATTCCGGGCGCTAGACTGCCCGGATCGTCGACACCGCCAAAGAAAAAGAGTAAGGGTCCAAGGGGTCCTGGCCAGTCCTGGCCTGTCCTGGTCGCCTGGGAAGGAAGACTTAAAGTGGCGGTGCAGGCTCGGTGCATACGTGTATCTGTGTCTTTTGACCGAAGAAAGACGAAGGGGGCGGAAATGATCGCCCAGAGTGGCTAAAGAATCCCTGACAATTTGACATCCTGGATCCCTCTCCCCGCGACACGTCTTCTCGTCTTCATCGAGCAGCCCTGGAGCAGCCCTCGTCCCGCTGGTCGGGTCGGGTCTCACTCACTGTCACCCTCCCACGAGCTGAAGACTTTTGCTTCCTCCCCTGTCGCTGACGCTGCAAACACACACACACACACACAAGGCACAAATGACGAAAGTGTATGCAAGTGCAGTACTACTTCAAACCTCTGCTCAGGTCTCTCTGCTCATGTGCCCGTCCTGCTCTTCGTGCTTCCGCGTCTTGGATGCCTCGTCATTACTTCCGTCACGGTTGGAAAACCTTCGACGAACCACCTGAAGCTACTGCTGGGCCACTAATACAAGTAGCTCTACTACTGCTATACTGAAACGTGGGCTAGGTAAAGAGATATGAGGATAGACGGCGCTTGATAGTGTAACGGCCGACCCATCTTGAGGCTCCTGCGATGACCCAGTGCGCCACAGATGAGTTACCAATCAAATGCCTGGAACTCCATGGCAAGATGAGCCCAATATCGTCACAGAGATTACCATGAGTGGCAGAACGAGGCTTGCGGCATTCCCAAGCTTATGGTAGGATCGCGCCTAAATAGGTAGGCAGGTGATGAACTCGACACTTGGGCCGAAAGAGTGATGATTCTCATGCGGGGATGTAGAAACATGCCTCGGCGAGGGTTTTGCACCAACGACTATGTAGGTAGACAGCTCACGATGAGCTTGGTGACTCTAAACTCGACTGAGTGCCTCTGCTCGACCTCTTTTTTTTTCATTTTCATTTTTATTTTTGCGCATTTGTGTGTCGTTGTAATAAAACCCTACCACCATGGCTACAGCACAGAGAACCGTACTGATCACAGGGTGCAGTGAGGGCGGTATCGGCGATGCCCTCGCTCGGGAGTTCCACCGCCAGGGCCTACGAGTCTTTGCTTCGGCCCGGAGCCTTGAAAAAATCCAGCATCTCACAACAGCAGGTATCGAGATCTTGGGCCTAGACGTTGTCGACAAGGCATCAAGACAAGGCGCCATCGAGGAATTGGCAAAGCTGACGGGCGGATCGCTCGACATCCTGGTGAACAACTCTGGCGTGGGCTTCCAGATGCCTCTTCTGGACGTCGACATAGACGAAGGCCGCAAGATCTTCGAAGTCAATCTCTGGGGCGTCCTGGCCATGTGCCAGGCGTGCGCTCCACTGCTCAGAGCCGCCGCCGCTGCCAGAGGAAGGCCCGCCACCATTGTGAACATCGGTTCCGTCGTGTCCCGGGTGCAAATACCGTGGCAGGGCATCTACAATGCGAGCAAAGGCGCTCTACACGTTCTCAACGACACGATGCGCGTCGAGCTCGCGCCGCTGGACATCAAGGTACTACACGTGGTGACGGGAGGGATACAGACGAAGTTCTATGCCAACGCGAAGGGTACTGTGCTGCCCGACAACAGCATATATGGTCCGGGCAAGGGGGTCATCGAGGCGGACATCGCAGGAAAGGCCGCGAGAGCGAGGCAGACCTTGTCGGCAGAGCGGTACGCAAAGAAGGTCGTAAGGAATGCGTTGAAGAAGAGGCCGATGAAGGAGATGTGGTTAGGGGGTAGCGCTGAGATTTGCTGGTTAGGGACCCGACTCGGGTGGCCAACCGTGATTGATGGGATCGTCGTCCATCTCATGGGTTGGTCCTTTAAGGGGTTGAAGACCAAATTGGGAGAATCGAGGCAGCAGACGAAAGTATCTTGACGGTCTGGCCGCACCAGAACCGAAAGTGTAGGTGTTGAGCCAGTGAGACCCCCTGAAGTATGTACATGATAGAGTTGAGATCCTCCAAAAGTCTGATGCTGAACTGCCAGGTTGCCCTCTTTACTGACCGATACAGGATGCCACCCTAGTATATGCGCGCAAAGCAGTGATATCGAAGAAGTCCAAGGTTCGATGCCAAAGTTCAGACCCTCCATGGTGCTCATCGCATCGAGCAATAGAACCATGATGCGTCCCCTCGGCCATATGATCAGTTTTCATGCGTTTCTTCATCTTCCGCACCCCCTTTCCACCACCGCATAATTGTTTGATACCAGAACATCGTTTCCGCCGTGCCATAGATACACAGGAATAACACCACCACGATCTTGGCGCCTCTGGTGACCTTTGGGTCCTTGAAGACAGATTGGTCGGGCACAGGGTCTTTCGGTGCCTCAGGAAAGTTATTATTCGAAGAGCTCGATGAGGAAAAGCGTGCAACCCTCGCACGAGTGATTGTCGTTGTGCTTAGACGGGTGAAGGCGTGTCTGCTGATGAGGAGGCCGCTGTTTGTGCAGGCAATGAGTGATCTGCATGGAGCAGCTCGGCCCAGAACTGAAGTGGCAAGGTGGTAGAGAGACATGGCACTCGTTAAAGTATGAATTCGATGCACGAGAGAAGACGGTAAAATTGTGATTCACTGTCTGTTATTTTGAGAAATTTGAAGCTTCAAGCTTTTTGATATACATTGGCCCTACCTCCTTTGTCGCGATTGAGGGCTGTGTGCGCAGTAAACTATACTGAAGAAGCACTCGTCCGGGTTATTTGGCGCTGACACGGTGAGGAATACGCCGTATTAATGAGGTCCACCCAAAGTGCTAGGACAAATACAACTCCGTCTGACAACATGACAAGAGCAAAATCGCCCTACATTCCTTGTGTTTCGGTATGAATGGGGTTGGCAAATGCCTGTATTTCTGCAAGCTATACTACCTACTATGTCCGCAGAAGTACGGCAGCCAGGGACGTCTCGTGTTCTCCGCCACGACCCCGATGCTCTTGAGCTACCGGTCCGGGTTGCGCGTCGTCAGGACGACCTTGGCACCGGGATAGAGGCCCATCAGCTCCGGGAGGAAGTCGATCGGCGGCATGTCGGCCACGAGGACGAAGCCCGCCGTCAGATCGCGGAGCAGCTTGTGCAGCGTGGCGCCTGACACGCATGCGAATCGAGTACAGGACGCACGCATACAGACAGTACCTGTCAGAGCGCATTCTACTCTTGCAGTATATCTCCTCCAATTTCTTCCGCACTATCAAAAGAAGAAATACCTCCCCTGGCCAGCGTGAGTGCCTTGACGTGGAGGCTGTCACTTTTCCCAAAGTACCCAAGTAGACAATGCTTTTGCTTTCTGCAACCACATTACCAACACTGAGAACGACGGCATAAAAAAAAAAGGCAGAATGAATAAAACAATAGACGTTGTGCGCCACCCGCGAATCGAACGCGGAGCCAAAGCATGGGAAGCTTCGATGTTACCATTACACCAATAGCGCTAGGGACTTGTAGTCAAGTCTGCCATGCTATGTTAGATGGGAATCTTGTAAAATGCTATTATATCCACTGAAGCAACTGCCGCGACGAAAAGGAACCTCCGGCGGGGGATTCAAGGGATGACAAAATACCTGGAACTGTCTGACAGAGGGGAATCATGCAATGGAAAGAGGGGTTAAATGCACTGAGGTAATGTGGCACCTCGGAAGTCCAGTTCAATTTACGCCGAGGCCTAACCTCCCAAAAGTGACCGGATGGGTTCGGTCTCTGTAGTGTGGCTAAGTTGAAGACAAAGCGGCTTCCATGAACTGACAATTGTATTTAAAGTCTTGATGAACACGACCTCAATGATAATTGCAATTAAATAATTAAGACGGACAAAGAGCTGTTCAAGTTGAACTACGCAATACAGCTAGTGCGGCGTGTCTCGAGTAATTTGCAGTACAGTGACCAAAAAAGTAAAGACTGGTCAAAGATAGCGTCACGAGGATGGGCAGTCGTCTATCGCCAAGAACGTAGGCAACCCGGGAGGCATCCTGCTTGTGAGGTAGTCATGTGCCGACATTCAACTCTTTCCTGATGAGGATATACATCTCGAGTCTACTAATAAGGCTAGGTATGTGTAGTCATAGTGCGTGAGGAAACCTTGATGTCCTTGCTTACCTTACTTTCTCTATCCTCTTATCCACAAGCAAACAGACCTCTGTTGGGATTTTCCAGCTGTCTGCTAAAACCATGCATTTTGTTGATTGCAAAGCAGCCCCAACTCTTTCGCGATGGCTTGTAGACGAAGAGATAGACATTGCCAGAAGCTGGTAATTTGGATCCTGTTCCGGACCAGGCTCCGGTCGAACTTGGGTGACTATTCGCACATAGCTTTACATCGGCATATCACAATCGAGGACCAAGCAATTCTTATTTGCTCGTTTTCAACTGGGCCTGGGAGCCTGCATGTTTCTCCCTCGCTTCCGCGTGATGATGTGCAACTCAAGATGCGTGCTACTCAAGTGAAATCAAACATCGCCAAGTGGCTGGGCGCATAGATCTTATGGAGGTTGGCAGTGCCCTAGTCTCTTGGTATTTGAAGTTCGTTTGCCTCCATTATGGGTTATAACGATGGTACGTATGCGCGGACCCTATTACGGGTCTTCATATCTGAAGCCGCGTCATCACCAAACAACTCTCTCACGTTTTTCTGATGCTCGAGCGCCAGTTGCGAGGGCTTAAAGTTCTCAAAAGCCATACTCCAGACCCGTCTTGCCTCATCGCTGCTCGTGTCGATGGCACTTACTCTGCCCGCATGCTGTGCTAGCATTGGATATGCACTGATCCTCGCCAGCCCGTGCTCGAATGCGAAATCTTTGGGAAGCATATCACTCCTTCCCGGACTCTCCTTGGCGGTGGCAGCCATCATGAAGTCGGAAAGATCTTGCGCGTGCGCCCTGTTGTATACGAGCGCCTGATTGCAGCAGCCAAAGAACTCTTCGCGAACACCACTTGGAGCGCCAACGAGAGATGCCTTTCCGGATGCGAAGAATAACCAGACAAATAGCGGCACAGCAACACCGCATACAAGAAACATCACCCAGCCATCCAAGTGCCTAGCCAGATGGCGCGGTAGTAGCATCCTCCGCGATAATAGCAGCACGAACAACAGAGGTATGCCCACAGCTAGCGAGATAATATGAACGTTGTTACTCCGAAACCCAATCCCTCCAGACCACCCGAAACTCCTCTCCTGATTGAAGAGCCGCAGGTAGAGCCAGCTACTGGGTCTTCCGGGTTCAACTTGGCCACGCTGTGGTGTTTGGCGCGTTGGTTCTGCCATCATCTTGTCGATCGCCTGCAGGTCCTTGAGTGTCCTCGCCGCCCATCCGTCCGCGAGCAGGATATCGCCCTCGAAAATTGCGATGTAGGGAGCGTCGGTTGTTTTTACGCACCGATCAAGCGCGTATGCATAGTCATGCACAGTCTTCCTTTCGAGAGCGTGTTTATTCTGGCGATCGCTGGCCCATCTTTCCAATGTTTGCATCTTTCTCTCCTTCTGGCGATCTGGTAAAGTCGCAGGGTAGGTCAGGATGTCATCGGCAAGATTGGCGGCAGCTAGAGCCTCGTAGCTTTTATGCTGCACCTCGGGGTTCGGTACATCGGCGAAGAACAGTTTCAAGTGCATCTCCTCTCTCTCGGCTCGAGACAAATTCGCAAGGAATGACCCGATCGCAGTGTCGACATACTGTCTTCCCGCGATCTCTCTTCCCACGGTAATGAATACGGCGCATATAGAGGGATTGCTCCCTGCCTTCTCTGGGAATGGGATGCTCGATTCGCGATCGGTCTCAAGATATTCGAGGTATTGATTGGCTTCGGCCTGACGCGTCAAGGAATAAAACTGGTCAAAGCCATGCTTCTCTGAGAAGAATATGGACAAGGGATCGCGGTAGAAGTTGAAGAAGCCGTAAGTCACATATAAGCCGATCAGCGTCAGGAGCAGCAAGAGCGCTCGAGTACCGGGCTGGCCAAGAAGGCTAGCGACAGAGATGCGGTTCTGGCAGATCATCATGGTCGCTCGCCACGCCCGTCGTCACTCTTCTTCCCCAGGTTCATGATCGTAATTTGGCATTCAGCATCCTCCTTGCGGCTGAGGTTGATGCTAGAGTACAGTTGAATCGCTTAATCGAAACGACCGTGCGCAATTTTGGCCACACTGAATGGAAAATGTACTAATGCATATCCGCATATAGAGATAAATACCGCCAGATAATAGCTAGCTACTTACTTAGTCGCATCTATGAGTGGGTATGCAACTAAGGCGGCGGCGGATATGAGCAGTAATAAGTCAAAGGATTCGGCCAGACTACCTAACAACTCAGGTCCGGTACCATAGAAATATGCGTACCTTGGTCTTTCTGCCTCGCGGAAAGGACTACTTATGGACTGATATTGAAGCCCATTGAGGACCGATTTGTAGAACTATGATACCCTGGTATCAGCCATGTCAGCAACCATAGGCGCTGGCTGGTAAGCAATTACGCGCAGTGCAAGAAATTACCTAGCTTGCCTGTCAAAAGGTCTGTATTATCACAGATTCAAGAAGGCTTTTCACAGAGCGCACAGAAAAGTATCAAGCTAAAGGGCTGCAACGGATATCTAAAGTACCTGGTAGATAGGTACCGGTATTTTTGCAAATCTTCAGCTACCTACTAATACGCTCCCGGCGTTCTTGGTCATCGTCGCATACCGTAGATTCCGGATCAAGGCAACTCGTTTGAAACGTCCTGTCTGTCAGAAAGGAGGTTGGAATGTTTCTGAGCTTGAGAGCTACTGGTGCCGGAAGCAGTCATGTAAGCTTTCATGTTCGCGCTTCGTTCTTTGTTCCTCTCTGGGCTGGTCAATGCAGCAAGTTTCGAGGTCTCGTATGAAGGTCAAGATAACTAGCATACGTACCTAGGTAGGTAATGAGAGTGATCTTGAATTGTCATCAAGTGAGAGCTTGGCATATCAATTCGAGAGTGTAGCACATCGCTGCGCAGGTTATCATGTCGTCCACTGGTTCTCCGTCCACTGGTCCTCCACTACAGCTCTCCCCTTGGGCCGAACGCTTTGGCTATGACTCCAACCCTTTCCACAATGAGTACAATCCCAAAGGGCAACGAAGCTCTGGAATAAACCCCGAACCGCCCGAGACGCATCCCGTATTTTATGAAGACCCGATACAGCCTCCTGATGAACCAACGCGCTCAAATGCTGAATTGGATCGGTTCTACCATGGTCTGGTGAATCAAGAACGTGTCAATATGGGTCTTCATTCACCAATGGCCGCTGCACTTAATGGTGTTCTGGACAGCTCTCCCACCGCGCAACTTTCTGGGGGTCATCTGAAGTCTGTGGATCGTCAAGCCAACCTCGACACTTATAAGAATCTCAGGATCGAAGTGGACGAAACACGATGGTTCCCGTTCTTCCGAAAGGAGCTGTGGTATGATGTTGGGGATCCTATGTGTATGTTATCTTTGATTATGCACTGTGTTCCTTGACATTCCCATTGACCGGCGGAACAGTCACCGAGGATTCAACTCGGAAATGGAGCGTGGACGACGCTGGGGTATGGGAAAATCTGAGGTTCACCCTAGAACTCGCGGACCGGATTCTTAAGATGCTTATTGAGGATAAAGATGAATGGTAACAACCCCGCCCTTCACTGTGCTGCAAATTTTGGGGCTTACAGGTGGTGTCTCGCTCTGAGTGTGCTGATGGTGTCCAGGCTACATGCGTTACTTTTCGGGAATATCTACGACTGGACTCGCTTTGAGAAAGACGAAGAACCCTTTATGGGTGCAAAAGTGCTTCTCTCAGAAGATAGGGAGAAGCTGGAGTACTCACGCGAAGGGGTTTCCTTCACTCACCCTCGACCCAGATTATCGACACCGTCCGCAGATTGGGTGAATGCTCTAAATCAAATGGGGAGGCATCAATGCTGGTCTTTCCTGGGCGATCGGGACTTTGTAGGCTTACGAGACTCAGCAGGAGCAACTGAACGCTGCAAGCATTGGATAACTAAAGAATATACGGAAATGAAATGTAGTATGTTGAACCCAAGAATTATTGAGGCCCTTAGCCGCCCTGACATTACGGTGTCGGAGCACTGCATGCTGCATCTATACCTGGCTATTACGGTAAGTGTACAGGCGGTAAAGAAATGTCAAAAGCTGACTGAAAGATAGATTTTACATGAGTTGAGTAGGTCGTACTGCAGCCGATGTCAAGATAATCTGTAAGCTTGAAGATCTAACACCTAACAGTGGTAAGGGCTACTGGCTTTGTTCGAAAACTTCGCAGATTAGCTTCAATGCTTACGGATTCAGCATGGCTTGATATGGCAACGGATGAATCAAGTAAAGTGTTTTGAGCCGGTGTGTAACGGCCTTTTTTGTCATTCGAGGCATCCCAACTCGTTGTTCCTTCTTAGCTAATCGATCAGTTCTATAATTATGAGCCGGTCCAC